TTTTTAATGTGATTAATATCACATAGTAATTTATTATAAATTAAAATATTTATATAAATATATTATGCATTTAAAATATGTGCAAATTCAGATCAGATTCAGATACACATCTTTGTGTATCTTTGTGTTTCTGTCAGGTTTCGATTCTGATTCAACTGCAGAAAAGTTTAGCTTTAACTGGTAGTTGAATAGCTTCGTCTTTTAGTTGATATTTAATTATTATTTTATCCCCTACATATTTTTTTTTATGTTGCTGAAAATGTCAGAGAAATTATCTTTGTCATCCTGCGGACAGTAAATTGCAGGGCGGTTGTTTCCACTGCGTGGATGTTTCCTTAAGGCGCAGCCACATTTCTTCCAAACTGACTGTGTATCAGTGTTTTTAAGGCCAACTTTACTTCCTACTTCCCCCTCTTTTCCACATCTGTCCAACCAATCCGACGTTGCTTTTCTTAACTGTACCCTTTATTCATCTCTACAACATGAATTCTACTACTAAAAAGACAACCTGTGTAAATAGGAAAGTGTTTTTGTATAAATGAGTACTATTTTGACACCGTCACTAGAAACCAGGGCACAATGTAAAACTACAAAGTTATTGTAACGAGACAGAACAAAGAACTTAATGAGAAATGATATAATTATACACAAACTGCTTTATCTCTTCTTTTATGGAGCGGTGGAAACATGTCAGAGGGAACCATGCATCATCACTGAGGTTGACGTCTTCTTTTGCAGAACGTTTGGTTGAGTTGTCTTCTTTTTTCCATTTTTTTGTGTGTGTTTTCTTTTGTTGATTTGTCATTAGTTGCTGGACTTTTTTGTTTACCTATTTCCATTTTTTAAGGGAGGACAGCAGCATTGCATGTTCTGAAAATTTTTGCTGGTTATAAAACTCAAAGGGGAACGCGGTGAAATGAACTACTTGGGGAGGGGGCGATGAATACAAATTTTAAAAACACAGAGGTTGTTCCTTACTCTTTTACGGGGGAAATGTTGCTTCAATTTGCAAATGCTTGTGTTTAACTCTACATTTTCTTTTCTATGAAAACCTACAAAACTGAAAAAGAGTACTCAACACCTTGTGCAATAAAGCTATCTTTTTATGAACTGTGACGAGTGTCTCCGTCCTTTTACACGGTAAAGTGTGTGGTGTTTGGACCTTTGTGCTTTATAACATACTGGGTTTCATGGTTTTGTGTCGTTATTGTAAACATTTTTGTCAACTGGAATTTTCACTGAATGTTTTTCCCCCTACATTATCATTATATGAATTAATTATAAAAAAATCAAATTTTGTAGTAATAATTTTTAATGTTAATTGTTGAAGCTGAATATATATTGATTAATATTAAGCTTCAACAATTAACATTAAAAATGATGAAAATGTGTCTTAAACTTCAAGGTGCAGCCGCTAGAGGGCGATGTACTGCAATAAACACGATATACTTCATCGACGTTTCTTCAATTTTAAGGTTTTTTTTAAAGGCGATTAATGACCAATGTTTTCATATGCAGTTTCCTAAATGTTTAATCTGATAAATCACAGGGTTTAAGTGGGTTAATCATGATTAATTATTTTTAAAACGAATTAATCATGATTAATCAAGACATATAGACAATCTTAATGTGACCAAAAACTCTGTATATTGTTGGAATGTATGTGTTTCACATTTGTTTAAAACAAGTGACAATTATTCACTAATACATATATACAGTATATATTTACAAATATTTGGAAACATCAGATGTTTACTGTATGACATTGTTTGTTCTGTTCCACCAATCCAGGAGCTCTGTACAATTTGAATGTTTTTTTTTCTTGTGTCTACTTTATTTTACTAATCCTTCTCTCCTCCACTGATGGATTTTTTCCTGCTCTTTGATTCGTTTTCTGAACTTTTGTCCCTCTTTGCTCGTCTACTTGCCGTTCTTCTGTTTCTTCTGCTGCAACTTCCTGAAGTGGCTCTGGATGGTTGCAGCGGCTTTCTCTACCTCAACAGGGCTGAGTGGAGGCTCAGTGGGGGAACCGCATGTCCCGTTGCAGGAATCGGAGTCTGAGCACGACAGGACACAGGGGATAGCCAAAAAGGTAGAGGCAACAGCCATGGAGACAAACTCTGTGGTGGTGATCAGTCCACACACACATGATTCACACACACGGATTGATTCTTCTGATGAATAAAAACCATAACGTTAATCTGGTACTAGCTCCAGAGTTGCTAACCAGTACTTACTCTTTCTGAACACTCCCATGCTGTTCCTCCTGAGGCCTTGGAACTGTCGAGCAAACAGAACAGGTTTTTTAAAGGACAGCAGTCAGCAGGACGTGCTCTGACGCACCAGGGAAGAAAGAGGACAAGTCGGCGTTAGAGATTGTACCAGAGATACGTGTGGTCACCGTCACAGGTACGGAGATACTCATATCTCATCATCTTATCCGGAAACATAGCTCGCATAACTTCGACCGCACGAACAAAACGACACGGGTGCAAACCAGCTGTGATGGAGCAACTATTGTGTTGACAGCTCACGTTGTATTGTGTACTTATGTGTGTGTTTGTTTGTTTGTTTGTTTCCTTCTCCAACTGCAGTCACAGTAATGACCTGAGTCATAAATCCCCCTGATCAGGATTACAGTTCAGTGGCAGACGAGTCACAGATTGAAGGAGCAGCTTAGCCTTTCTATCTATCAGTTTGGCTGAGAGCCTGGGTTGACTTGAGAAGAGAGAATTAAATACAACGTTGAACTCAATAATACTAAACATTTTATTTCATCTTTAAACCTTTTAGCATCACCTACGACTTTGGTTTATGTTCCTGACCTTTTGACCCTGTCATCAGTATCACATAGAATATCACAATACAAATGTTTTCTTGTTTAGTTTTTTTTTTCCAAAAGAACAGAAAGCAGTGTGTATACATTTTGAATTCAGTTCAGCAATCCATTTTCTGACTTGAATTCTCCTGCAGGTTCACGGAGGAGCTGCAGCCAATCCCAGCAGTCAACAGGTGAGGCATTCACGATCGCATTCATATCATTTAGAGTTGATTCTGAGTTGGAATTGTATTTAGATTTTTTCAAGGTTCATCTCAAATTCACTTTTTATTCTGAACCCCTCAGTGAGACACCGTACAGAGGTGTGGAGCAGCTGTGACCAGCTTATGAAGTTCAGCTCACATGCTGAGTCAAGGTTGACTGCTGATCCCTCCACAGCTCCGCATCATCATTATGTAACAGAAGATTAGGGAGCGCAGAACATCTGAAGGCTATACCGGCTGAAGCAAACAGAATATACGGTGTATGTGAACAACTGTTACTAGTGTGTAATTTAAGTTTACAGAACCTTTGGTGCTGAATATTATGACTGTACTTATGCCTTTTGTCATGACTGACCTCCTCGGGTCGGCTGCTCCTTCGATTGGGTGACACCGAGTGAACCTGCCAGGGTAAAGGCTGGTTCACCATATATGGTAAAGGCTCCTTCCGCGGGGGGAACTGAACCGCTATCTGAAGGAGAATGTGACACAAAGAAGAAAATTACACAAAACTGAATTAATGGCCAGTGTTGTTTTAGTGAAATGGACATTTGGTGTCACATAATTTGCAAAGAAAGCTAAAAAAACGAATCCTTCAAAAAGGTTTGATTTAGCTTAAAATTCAATCATGTGCATCGAAATATTTGCACATCAATTATTTTTTACCATATCATTTAGATATATGATGAGTACTGACATTAAAATTAACTAGTAACTAACTATTAACTAGTTTACATTAACATTTACATGCAGCTTACCGACTCCACCACCCTGACCATCATGTACATGGCTGTTAGCATGGACACCAACATCGTTCCCACTGTTCCTTCAGGCTTTTCTAGAGTTCCTCTGTCTCCTCCTTCAATCTCTCCAGTGTTCCTCAGTCCTGCCGAAGGAAAGTCGACCCAGCACGGTTGCAGTTATCAGAAATACAAAGTTGCGGTGCTGCAGGGAAACTGACCACACAGTGTTGGAGTGTCCACCCACTCAGGTCCCTCAGGTAAACACTCTCACACACACACACACACACGCCACTGTCTTCATTCTCACTGTCTGACTGTTAAAGAGCTTTGCGGGACAGAAATAGAGAAGCAATAATCTTTCCCTTTGGCTCAACACTTGTTTCTGGACTGTGCTTTCACTTTGAACAAGTATGAGAAGGAGTCGTTTGGGACGTGCAGTGTGGAAAAAAAGGGTTTTATTTATTGTTTCTATTGACTTAGATTCAACCTCCTCCGAGTAGAATACATTATTTGACACTTTTACCCTCGGTTTTGAATGTTTAAACAAATTTAAACAAACTGTGGGAAAATGTTTTCATTTCACTGAAGCACCTAGGGCTTCAAATTCCACTGAGGTTTTTAAAAGCTCACTACGAGCAGATGAACAGACGCCAACTCTACTGTATGAAGCTAAATTATGGGTTATGCTTTTGCATATGTTCCCTGACATTGTTTCATATGAATTATTCCATTATTTGGATTAGACACAGATAAAAACAGGTGTGAAACACAGACATCTACCATTTGTCCTTCTGTTCAAGCAGTATATAGAAACGAATTACAATGTACAGATGTTGATTAATCACAATTAATCTTGCTATTAAACACAACTAATCATGATTAATTGTGATTAATCAATCCTGTGATTAATCATATTAAGTATGTTCATCCTTGACAACCCTAATGTGAAGACAGCTGCAGCAGAGGTGGTGGTATGACTGAGGCTGGAGGTGTTCTAAGTGTCATCTCTGCTTCAATCTCTCTAAATGGCATGGTATGTTTCTAGGAAAACCAAGGCCTGGGTATCAACTCACATACTGTACCAGTTCACCTGGTATTCTAATAATTATCACAAAGATCACACGCTCTAACCGTGCGTCACAGTCTGGAGGCGATACCTGTTCGACGGGTGCTGTCTGCTGGTATCGACCGCTGTTATCAGTGTTGTCCTCTGTCAGTCATTGTCAGACGATGCCTGTTTTCTGATGTCGTCGCTGCCGCTTCTGCTGCTGCTACGTCAACGACAGGTGATCAGATAGAAGGGCAGGTATGTGTCTTACCACTGGACCACAGATATAAGGACTAACCTGACAAACAGAGCGACAGAGACACCTGGCTCTGGACAAAGTTGGATGCACGTTTTGAAAATTGGTAAGAATATTTTAATTTGAATTAATGATTTGGGAAAAATGTCTTGTTGGTATTATCAGAATGTTAGTCGTATATTCTAAGGAACACAAAGCAAAAGTTGTACACAAGTATTGACCGCATTTACAGTGCTATCAAAGACTTCACTATAATATATAGTCATATATAGTCAATTCAAAAACACATCAGGGTGAACCAGTGTTAATGTTGGCAGCCACTTTGATTTAATCTCTCTCCTTTGACATATGTCTCATATTATTTTTTTAACGTCATACCGCACATTATTTCATAAGACAATGTTTGTATTTTCATACCCACATTACATTACTTTATTTAATCTGTTAGAAGGGAAGGTCTAAGTTTTATTAATTAGTTAATTATTAATGAATTAAATCGACTGTATTAGTTATATTAATCAAATGACAAAGCATTGTTTTGGGGTTGTATTGTTTAGTAGTTTTAGTACTACTTTGGGTTTTGTTGTTGAAAAAAGTCATTTTTCTCCGTATTTTCCTAAACCTAGTAATTTTGGGCTTTTTTTTTTCATTTTCTATTGTAACTGAGTTTACGTTGACAACATTTTTCATCACAGGATTCCAAACTTTGTGTCACACAGGGCATGTGTCCCAGGAGTAAAGACAAACTAATTTAACACAGAGACCAGAAGCACCAGCTGGAATAACCATGCCGAAAAAGATTACCAAAAAGATGACCAAGAAGAAAAGTATGTTTTTGTTGTTGTTTTTTTATTGATTATGAATATTTATTTTTTATCTGATGTAATTGACCAAGAAGAAAAGTATGTTTTTGTTATGTTGTTAGTTATGTATCAATATACATTCATATTGGTTCTGGTTAATAAGTAATAATTAATAAGAGTTGTCATATTACATATTGATTCATCTGTTTGTTTGTTTTTTTGCCTTTTCCGAACTAGAACCTCCAACTAACAGTGTCCAAGCAGAATTTTTACACAACCTTGGACTGGAGCCCTTTCTGTCTGCTCCACTGGACTCAGCATGCATGTTGAATATCAGCACCTGGACTTCAGAGAATCTTGAACCCCTAGAGACCAAAGATCTGCCATTCTCCTTTCTCCAGCGTCTTTGGCTCCTCAGCCCTGATGCCAGGAGTACGTGCTGCAGAGGTTCAAACAGTGTCCTGAATAATGCCAACCACTCTGCTGAGACAGCAAACGGCCTGGAAGGCGAGGATCAGCGAACCATCAACCCCCTCGATCTGGTCACAGCTGTCTATATGTCTGCCCACCCTTTCCTTACGCAGGAAATGACGGCCCGCGTGATGCAGTGCCAGTTTGCCGTACCTCTGGTCCTACCAAGCAAAGATCCCGAAGGCCCCGGTCGTTTTCTTCTCTGGCCTCTAAGAAACGTTGTGACACAATGGACGTCTGATTCAGCAGACGAAAGAGAAAAAGGTCAAGTGCAGGATTTAGCAAGTCGATCCATGCCGATGGTTTCCTTCCTGAAGTTCGGACACTTGAGTGTCTCCAAGTCACAGGTGCTCAATTGCATTTCAAGCCAACACAGATCTTGCAGAGAAATGTTTGTACACAGGGAGATGGAGGGAGGCCATCTTCCCAGAAAACTGGCTAACGGCCTGGTGGAGATCGGATGGTGTGTACCCACTGGAGGCACTGTCGGAAATAGGTTTCCTGCCCCCATGGCCATTTGTAACCTCCGAGGTGATGCGACTAAACACGAGCAATGCCTCACCTTTCTATGCCAGGCTTCGTCGGCTGTGGTTGTCTTCTGTGGGCAACTCCACGAGAAAGAAAAACAAATTCTTGCTTCCTGCAATAACCTGGCCAAAAAGCTCATAGTGGTCGATGTATCAGAGACTGAAAAAAACGTTAAAAGTAATCTGGGTTTTGCTGGGGTGTCCTTTGGAAGAACCACAGGTATACCTAAAGAGTCAGTGGTACAAGGGAAAGGACTGAATGTGGAGGAAATCGCAAAGAGTCTCTCTAACACGCTGAAAGTTCTGCTACCAACTGAACTGACGCATGTTTCAATGGTAGAGGCAGCAAAAACTGCATCTGAGATAGGCCTCGAGGTAGATGAAGGAGCTGCCTGTAAAAAGGCGTTGTCCATGGTGGAGGAGGTATTGGAAGGGTTGGGGGAGGATCTTGGGCAGTTTAAGGAGAAGCAGCTTCCATTACAGGGATTTTTCTGGAAAAAACTGGGTGAAATAGAGAGGATAGAGTGTAAAAGCCGGATTGAAAGAAAACCGCTGGACCCCGAACTACGAAGAGAAAAAAAATATATCTTGGCTGAGTATAAACGCTACAAAATCACCCAATCCATGAAAGTATTCATCAACGCAATGTCTGCCACAGATAAAGTAGAGAGGGCCTACTTTCTTAGGTGGCTGAAACTCAAGCTGAAGCTGAAGCAGAAAGAAAGCCAAGGTGGTCAACGAGATCTGTTTTCATTTGTGCACACAGAAAATAACGTCCCTGAAAATCCTGATGAGCTCCAAAATGGATTCGCTGAAAATCTCAGTTTCAGTGATTGCTCCAGTGCGGATTCAACATCAGAGGGAGAAAACCTTGAAGCACTGTTAGGTGCTTACGCCAAACATGCAAACAAACAGCCAAACAGCAGAAAAAAGGTGGAGCAGGCAGTGGATAGGTCAACGGCCGAGGATACGCAGTCAGACTCACTGCCACAAAAATCCCCATTTCTTGAAAAAATTGACGAACATCAGAACCAAAATGAACCAAAGCTAAAACTTGACCCTAACTGTTTGTTTAATCAAGACTGTTCATCCCCAGATTTTTCTGTGGAACCTCAGACCCTTGTTCCTCTTCAGACATTGAAGTCTAATTCTTTCTCAGATTTGACTACAACACAAGACAGGATAGGTCCAGATGCTTCCACCAAACCTCAGAAGGTTGGCTCTTTTCAGACTTTGGAGTCTGATTCTTCCACAGATTTGACAACAACCCAAGACAGACTGTACCCGAATGTCCCCAGTGAACCTCTGGTTGTTGGCTCTCTGTACACATCAAAGTCAAATTCTTTCTCAGATCTGGTTATGAGCAAAGATGTGATCGGCCCAGATGTTTCCACCGAGCCTCAGAAAGTGAATTCTCTTCAGACTTCGAAGTCTCATTCTGTCTCAGATTTGGCAACAACCCAAAACAGACTGTACCCAGATGTTCCCTCTGAACCCCTGACAGTTGGCTCTCCTCAAAATGGAATGTCCAGGTCTTTCCCAGCTTTGACAGTAAACCAGGACTCTTTGCACCAGGAACCTCAGACACGTGGTCTTCTTCAGACTTCAGAGTCTCATTCCTCCTCTGATTTGACTACAACCAATGACTGTTTGTCTCCAGAACCTCAGATGCTCAGTCCTCCTCACGGTCCCCCCTCCTCAAATTTGAGGGCAACCCATGACTGTATGTGCCCAGATGTTTCTACTGAAGTTCAGGTCCCCGATCCTCTTCAGACCTCCAAGCCCGTTTCCTCCTCACTTGGTCTTGAGCACTTTTTGCGTGAGATGGGCTTAATTTTTGAGCTGACTTGCAACAATTTTGGCACTAGAAGCCAGAATGTTTTGGGCCTTCCAGGTGTAGCTGCGGACCTGCTTCTCTATGGGGTTCCTCTTGAGATAATGGATGGAAACGCCTCAAATGTTCCAATTCATTGGCTGGGCTGTGTCTTTGCAGAGCTGAATCGCCGCCTCCCTCAACAGAAATACAAGCTACGAGTGCTTACAAACCTTGGGGTTCATTATGCAAGGAATGCTGAAGTTCTTTCAGCAATATTTGGGCTAAAATTCCCTGACGGAACAAGAACCGGCAGAGGGGTGTACATGCTGCTCCTTCGGCTGCCTGACAGTGTCAGACAGCTCATGAGGTGTGATTTTCTGTTGTTTCTCAACGTGGCAGGCTTCGGCTCAACTTCTCAATACAACAGCACTGATACCAGGATCCATGACCATGAGATGGCTGCGGTTGCAGCAGGAATGACTGATGTTTTGATGCACAATGTGTCTCCACTCACAGGTCCTGAGTTTGAATCCGACCTCACCGTGATTGCTAACGCTCTCCTCTGCATACAGCAGTATGTTCCGATGCCCAGCTGCCAACTGCTCGTCCACGATGAAGACATTAATAGTATGTTACATGCCTTACAGTTAAAGCATGTATGTGAGGTTCTTCAGAGCGAGACCGGCAGTATAGAAGCTAACAATGCAGATAAACAAAACGCAAAGGCCGCACCTTGTATCACCTGTGTCAAAGGGCCCTGGTCCAGCGCCTCCCCTTTTGGACCAGTTGATACGCAGTACAGTACTGCAGTGTTGAGGTTAAAAAAAAATGTGTTTGGGACGTTGGAGAAATTGGCATTGAAATTGCCAGCCACAGGTCTGGCAGATTTTTTTGTTCGTTTGAATTCACTATGGGAGGTAGTGAAGGAGGATTCATTCTATATTGGCCTGCAGAACAGGGACGCAGCCAAAGCTTTCCCTGATATGTGCACAGAGGTCGCACAGTGGCAGGAGAATTTGCTGGATCACATAGAGAGTTGGTTTGAAGGGGCAGAGAAGAACATCATTGACACAAAGGAGAAGGCTCTGGATGAGGAAGACCAAAATGATCTCTTGAGTGAGTTAAAGGAAGACGCCAGGGATGAGATAAAAACAAAGGCCAGGAAAATCAAGACACGAATGAACACTTATATAAGAAAAAACGATGTCCTCAAAGAGAAGGGCGACTCGTTCAGACCTCTTGTGATGAGCTATGTTGATCATCTGCAGGAACAAGTCACTGAGAACACAATCCAAAGATTAGAAAAAGCCAACGAGAGCCATTGTTTATCCGTGCAGTTAAACAAGTTCAGAACCCTCCTGGAAAAAGAGCAAGAGGCAGAGTTTGACAGTCTGATGAGGAAGAGTAATTCAACCAATGCTCTCCTTCAGGATGAACAACTAGAAGAAGAATTTGAAGGAATGTGGAGCAAGATCGTTTCTACCTTTGGCTTCAGGCCCGCAGAGACAGAGGATATCACTCTAAGAGTGAGAAATATTCTGATACAGAATCTGATCAACAGAGGGCTCCAGAAACACATCAGAAAAACAGAGGCCATTTTCTTTTACTACATGTGTGGCTTTCGGATTAACGACGACTACCTAAAGTACAGAAGTAGGGTAAGCAACATCATACTACGGAGAAAAGACGCGGAAAAACTGGCATGCACTGTGGTAGAGGAATATAATCAGTTTGTGGCAGAGAAATTCAGCCTCCCAGCCTGTTACTCTGAATCCTATATAAAGGAGATTTTGGAAATTGTGGAGAAAGCTTTGCAGAGAAATCCTTTGGAATTCAGAACAGCTTTTGAAGTCGATCTTAAAGTGTATCTGTGCAGCGCAGCATGCCAGGATTTCCAAAGGCTCCGTGAGCGCTTTGATAAGGACGAACAGCTCCTGACGTACATGAGTGTCAATAAGAGGGCCTACATGTCGAAATTCGTCTACCAGTTCAGGAAGAACGATCAGTGTCAACGAGTGGCTGAAGCCTTTATCTCCATGATCATCAAACCCACGGTGTTACACTACATCTACAGTCTGATGGGGCCTCATATCGTTGAGGAGATACGGTCTCAGCACCAGCAGTACCAGTCCTCACACACCTTCAGCCAAAGCCTGATGGAAAAGTTGATAACGGAGGTTCGCTTTGAGAGATTTCTGGAGTTCTTGCATTTTTACAACGGCTATAGACAGAAGAGGATCCGGGAGACGGTCCTGTCTCATCTTTCCGAATCCACCACTCTGAATGAATGGAGACAAGATAAGCTGTGTGAGATTGTGAAAATAATTACATCAGCTTTGAATCAAACGACACCCGGCACACAAGACGTTCTGAGTGACACAAAGCCGCTGCTGGAGGAAGTGTGTGTCATTATCCAGAATGATGCGAATATAGACGTTTCCTCAGTCGCTCTAAATGGCCCGCTCTTCAGCATCACCACAGAATGGGCCACTTTTGTCACCTGCTTAAAAAAGCTATTGGCCGAAATGCAGGCAGACCTCAACCAGGAGTTTTCGCAAAGTGTGGACGTCACACAACTCCTCAGGTGCCTCCCATGTAGCCCCCAAAAGTCCCTCTTCAGCAAAGTGAAAGGCTGTGAGAAGTGTTGTCCTCTCTGTAAAGCCCCCTGCCAGGAGGTCGAAGTGGGCCATGACGTTCACAGGGCTTTTTTCCACAGGCCCAAATACATGCTGCCTAATGTGCCAGGGAATGATGGTCCTGAAGGTGCAGCCCAGTCTAAGCTAGAGCAGAATCAGGACACAGATGATCTGTCCGTCACATGTGGGAACCTCCTCTCCATCTACCCAGACTGGACCATGTACCCCGACCAAAACCACCAAACTCCCTGCCTGTACTGGAGGTACTGTATCTTTAATACTGGTCTCCACCACAAACATTGTTAAATTCTGTCTGTTTGTGACAAGCATTCCTTTTTGTACAGGTATGTGCTGGTGAGGTTCAACGAGGATTTTGCCAAGGAATATGGCAAGATGCTGGTAGAAGTTCCAGCGGAGTGGAGAAACATCACTCAGGAAGAGGCTTTGAACAATCTGAGGGACATTTACCTCAGTAAATAGCTCTTTAGCTTCGATGTTGTTTTGTTATGTTCTAAAAAAAATGAAGCCTTTAAGGTATTTTGACACGATATTGGTGAGTGACACAGAACTACAGGAGTAATCTGTAATCTGAACAAAAGATGTAAAATACTATTTTTGTGGGTTTTTTTATTGTATAATTATAATGTAACAAATGATAGTACAGTTTTGTAGATTGTAGGTTTTTTATCCAATCAAAACATTTACAGTTTAATAGAAATTAAATAATTTTGAATAGGGGAGTTCACTAAAGACAAAATATTATCTGAACAAAAATGTTGTTAATCACAGTATCTTTCACCATGAAAGGAAGTAGACATAAGACATAAGCAAAGAACTTAAAAATCAAATGAAGTAAACCACAAGAGGGCAGTGTAGGAAGAGAAAACTACAAAATCATTAGTCGTTATTTTCAGACTCCTGTGGTTGCTAAAATAAATTCATCAGCGACTGCATTAAAGGCACAGTTAGCTTTAAAGGGGGCATCATAAAAAAGCTATCAATGCTATTTTTTATAAATACTGTGTTTATTTAAAAAACAGTTGCTATGACAACCATGGTCCTTCTCTCACAACTCATTTCATCCAGCTCCGACTCTCAACATCCATTAGGCTTTTTTTTTTTTGGTGTGAGGTATAATTTACATTTTTAACCTCTAAACATAAATTCTTATTTGAATAATGTATTCATGTTAAAGTTGATTCTGTTTAAATAGGGAAGAGGAAAAATATACAATATTTTAAAAGCATCTAAATCATATGATCGTTACAAAATCTTAATTTGAAAGTGGAAAAAAAATGAAGAAAACATAAAATAAAACAAGATACTTAAGTTAAGTTAGTACACACTTTCTGAATTAAAAATTCAACTTTCTTTTTTATTTTTTGGTAATTTAGCTACTCCTTACACTCCAAAAAACGTTTGTCAGTGATCCTATTGGTTTTTAATAATTTGTCAAATATTTACAGCTTTAGGTTGTATAATATAATATAAACTCATTATTAACCTTTTTTTGTGATACAGGTTTTTTGGAGGATAGTTTCAATTCTAATTTTAAAACTGTTAAATCCTTTGATGCCAATGTTTGGGGAATTGGGCTTATACCAATAAAACTGACTTGACTTGATCATCCTGGAATGCAGGCAGGACAGTCAAGAGATGCCACATTTATGTTATCCTGGCATTCAGCATATCCAAGATCGATCATCTATTCATCCCATAATTTACATTTTTTTAACATTTTGACCAAATTCGTTACAACACTAATTACCAGCACAGGTTTCCCACACATAAATACTGTAATTTCTCTGCCTTTTTCAAACCAATCAATCCACAGGGAATTTGAAGATGCACGAAAACATAATAATCAGCACTAAACAATGATAATCAGCAATTCCAAGCCACTGATGCAAAACCACAACATTTGTCAACACTGATTAAGCTCTGCGATCACAGACAGACAGATCCTTAATGACATCCTAGGTCTACGTCCAGAAAAATACTGTTTGAAAAAAGCAGCTCAGTGTATGATGCATCTCAAATGATAGTCTAATATTTTTCTAGATAAACGCGATAGCTAGCCAGTGGAATGACAAAATAATTGAAAAAAAACCCGACGATCTTTTATAACAAAGATCTCATATAATTATAATTTATAATATAATTTAATAACACGGTTCAACAATGCGTGCATTTTTAATTTCCCTTCTTTCACACTGAGTGAAAGACTCATTTCTATAAAAGGATGGGCCATTCAAGCGGCAGCCGGCCTACAGCAGCAGCTGTATGCTTTTTTGGCAGGACAAACTTCAGTTAAATCTTCATGTTGCACTTCCTGCCTCTGTGAACCGCTTAACAGTTTTTGCTCTCTGTCCAATCAGATCACTCAGCCTCACTCTCTCTCTCTCTCTCTCTCTCTCTGTGCCCTCGTTCTGAGTCTGTGACAGCTCCTCTGCCTCAAGCACTACTTGAAAAGGTTTCAATCTAAAAAAACGAAAAAAGAAAGAAAAACGTTTTTTCAACTAATGTTATGTTGCTGCACTCGATCAATGATTTGTGAAAGGTAGTGAACAACGAAGAAGAGGTTTTCAAGAGTCAATATTAAAATCTCGGTGAATTGTAAAATCAATATTTTGTTAAACAAGTGTTTACAATATGCATGGAAAAAATGAATTTTATTATTTTAATTGAATGCACACATTACTACTGTCAAGCCAACAGCAATAACATTTAACTTTATATGGCCTTTAGATAGATGGATGGATGGACGGACGGATGGACTGATGGACGGACGGACGGTGGGTGGATGGTCCCAGGCTGTGAAATTGCAGTGTAGCAATTTGAAGCATCATCACATACAGAGACAATAGGAAACAATGAGGTAATTAGAAAAAAGAACAACCCACACCAGTTATGGTATAATAAATGCACAAAAATGTATAGATGTTCAGATAAGCAGCATACACTGTACTGGTAAAATGAATAGGTAGGTGTTATTTCAGTATTATTTCATTCAGTGTTATTTCATACAATATATTTTGAAAACATTTCTCATCTATACAACTCATAAACTGAAAACCAAGGTCCGTCACAAATGTCATATTCAAAAGGTCAACCGTTCCTCCGAGAGGTTTCTCATTTTTTATCGAAATACCCAGTTTCACTGGCGGGCAGGCTGGCAGCAGCAACAATTGGCAACAGTTTCACTGAACAAAGCTGTTTTCAATCCATTTTATTTTTTGATATTGGAGCCACTCCTTGCTTTGATTTGCAGTCTGTGGCGTACTTCCAGCACAGATGCCTTCAGGTAAAATGAGGGTAAAGAGGGAGAAGGAGCAAACAACAGGCTGACACGTGGACAGGAGCTGGGGTTATCTGTCCAGTGTAAACAGCTGTAGACCACTAGACTCACTGTGACCCAGGACTGATCAGTGATAAGAGACTAGAACTGAGTGGAAAAGTCAGAATAGTTCACTGTATAAAACGTGAAAAACTATTACATGGAATCAATTTGAAACTTTTAATGCGATAAATATTGAATATAGAACTAAGATTTGTGTGTGGTCATGGATGGATGGATGGATGGATAGATAGACTCCTACTCAAACATTTTCTATAGTAATCTTAAATGAACAGTTGTCTCCCCCTGTGAGCTTCAGATTTGATATTTAAAGTCTTTTAAGTGGTCACTGACTCTCTAAATGGCTTAATTCCTTTTTTTAATTTCTTTCTGACCCTGAGGACCTTAAAAAACAGTTGTTGTTTTCGTTTGTATGACTTTCATAAAATCCTCATAGCCATTAAAAATCCAAGGTCCAGGCCGAGTGCCCACTTCCTGAAGACCTGTGGACCGATCAAAGATGTGATGCTTTTAAGTGCTGACTCAAGACCCAACCTTTTAGTTTTTTTTTTTTTATTATTCATGGTCCATTTTCTTTTAACAAACATTCGCAATCGATCGTTCGCAAATGCTCTTATCTCAATTTCACAACCAGAATCCACATTTGTAAAGTCATTACGTTTGTGTGTATAATTATTTTATAATGTCTTTTAATTCTTTGCTATATCTCGCGATATAGTGAAAATTTTGTGAGATGGGAAATCTGCGATGCACTGAGGGAGCAAAAGGTGAATCGCGACATAGAGAGGGAACACTGTATATATATATTTCTTTTTTTGGTATATTTCTTGTTATGTCTATTTATGTACTATTTTATTGGCATTTTAACGAATTGATGTTGTTTTTTTTTTTTGTTTCAGGCCATGGGACCTAGGACTCAGAGATGTTACTACACCACACAAGACAGACAGACACACTTCACTTTCTGGTGACAACAACTGTGAGTCACTCAATGGTGTTGTTGGATGGTGTCAGAAACCATCTCTGTCTCTGTCACTGTGTGTCAAACTGTCCGTGGTGTTACTTGTTTGTGTCATGTTTGCCCCAATACTCTCAGATTCACCATGTTGGCTTGAACTGATGAACAAAGGGACATATTCTTCCTGCAATACAGCAAACTATAATCTATACCTGAATCAATGTGAAGGGCGGACATACTTTCTATTTTAATTATGCCTAAATATGTCGTAGGCATGTTTTATTTGTACTACATCAAATCTTGAATATTTTCTTTCATGCATGTATAGGATACTTCACTATACTTTGATTTACTAGTCTATCCATCCATCTGTCCGTTGTTCCATCCACCCACCTGTCTGTCCATCCATCCGTCCGTCCATCCATCCATCCATCCATCCAAATCCTGTTTACAGCCATAGTCGAAGCTCATTACCATTCACATTCATACCTCTGGCCAATTGATAATGTGTTTGACCTCATCTCCAATCTCCATTTGTTTTGGACTCTGACAGCAGACCAAGCACCTGGAGAGAACACCTACACATCATCATACAAACTCACACAGAAAGGCCATCTGTCCGAGCCTTTCTTGTTGTGAGGCATCTCTGTAGATCTTACCAACTGGCCAGAAAACACACATTTTCACCAGAAACTAGATAAGCATGACAATGCATGGACAGACAGATGGCCTGTGGGATTTCTACATCATCAGTCTGTTTTGCTACCGGGGGTGGCAGCCAAGCATAAAATCAAGATCAAGCGACTCTACAATAGCTTCTTTGAAACTTGTTTATTGGTGAAATTCTCTCATGTTTTTCCCTGAGATCACAACAATAGCTGCTTTCTCTTTACAAAACGTCTCATCCTTTTGTCGTCATTCTAGCCTTTAATACACGTGACGTCGGATATTACTGACACTCACAGAGGTCAAAGACGAAATGAACGATGGAGTGACGCTAATCTACAATGACAGCTTGTTAAGATATAATATTAACAATTATTATTCCTGAAATGAAAACCATCTTCAGGGCTCCCTGATACAAATCTAATCAAAGTGTAGCATTTTATGATTCAGAGTGGTCGACGGCAGGACTGAGAAAGAACCAACCAGCAGCACCTAGTAGCTTGAAATTCAACATCTGGTATTAGTTTGGCTTCACCACCTGCGGGGGCACTAGAGAGTCTGGAAAATGGGCATTCAAAGGATGCCACAGTGATCAGAGAGAATTGTAGAAACAGACTGATGGGTATTTCAACACAACCCTGTGAGACGCTGATGACAGTGTGTATTTAATGTACACTGCTAAATGTTAACCTAACGTGTCCAGATGATAAAAGCACACATTTGCATAAAGAACTCTAATTACTATGCATTATCAGGCAAAAACACAACAAATGGTCTGACATTTAGTTCTGCAAAGGCATAAATGTATTCCATTTAACTTCTCAATTCAGTTCATGCCGTTCTCAGTGAATACAGAACCAGTCTTATGAAACACTTTCCTCTGAAATAGAAATCCATATCCACTGCTCCTCATTACCATCCTCCTGTCTGTTTGTCACAATGCTATTGTGCCATATTGAGCGCTCAATCATGTACAGAAAACCTCCGTCTCCTCCGAAGGTTTGTGGCAAACATAAGTGAGAGTCGACTCACAATGCAATCCCTCAGGTGAGGTGTCAAACTCTCATCACGTGTCTGACAGCGGCGAGACAAAGCAACTTCAGTCAGAAGACAGAAAAAGAAAGAAAGAAAGAAGTAGTGTTGATGACGGCTGCCATTGATCTGTGTCAAAAGGACCTGCAGTCTCAGAGACGTTATCGTCTGCAGCTAATTAAACTCCCAGCACTCATGATTGTCAGTGGTGAAGATAGTGACCACGGACACACCACCGTCCACACAGGTGAGTAATTCATATGAATTCATATCAATAATTCAAATGCAGTGATAACAAACTTGCTGTGTTTCAGAATCATCAGGGCCGCACTGTGGCTCAGTGGTCAAACTGTTCAATAACGTAGTGGTAAGTATTGATCTTACTGCAGAATTCAGAATGTTCACTCTGAATTGACCAATTTTGTGAATGTGAGTGCGAATGGTTTCTCCGCAAATATGGCGCGAGGTTGAACAGGTCATGGTGTAGCCCCACCCTCCAAATCACTACTGGTAATGGCTTCACCTTCAACAGCAGATGAATGTTAATGTGTGTCATTAAACACTGTGCTTGGAATACATGTATTTTAAATCCTTGATTTCCACCCATGAGCAGTAAGTGATCCTGCCTTACAGCAAGAAGCCAACAGTTTGATTCCCCGTGGTGAGTGACGCTCTTTATGGTCCATTAAGATGAGGTGTGCGTGTGATTGGTTGGTTGTTTCTCTCCATATGTGGCCCTGTGATGGACAGAAGAGGATGTTTGAGATGCCACCTGATAATTAGACAGTGCTATTACTGCACTCTTTCATTTCCCTCCGGAGATTAATCACTAAATATGATTATATTTCCTGCTTGACTCAGGAAATATGTTTCTTTTCTTTCCTTCCCTTCAGACACTCAGGATTTCAAACAGAGATTAGACAGAGAAAAGAACAGCTTCCATCTGAAGGGCAGGTCATACACGGCTGAACAGGTGTCCGCACCAAGTCTTCCGGACCGATTCGGCAAAATGTTGTTTTGTAAACCTTCGTTCAGCCTTATGGGCTATAGAAGCACTCAAAGCCTGGAGCAGGTGGGAGGAGGCTTACTGATGAATTGAGGGAGTGGGTTCCTGTGGGTCCCCCTTGTCTCCCCCTTCTCCCTCTGTCACTCTCACTCAGTGCTGAGTGAGAAAAGGCACCATGTCCGTCTGACTCTTCACATCACAGTGGTGTTCAGTAAACGCAGCAGGAGAGCATGTCTCAGCAGAGACGCTGGATCAGCGGCCAGGAATAAACAGCACCAGGACAAGAAGGGCAACGAGGAGGAAGAGGAGGAGAAGAAGAAAACAAGAAAATCCTCTGGACTTCTGCACAGGTAAGATACCATTTACTATGTTGACGTCTGTTGAAGAACAAGAACACACAAAAATCCTCCAACACATGTTCAAAAAGATTTAACATTTATTTAAAAATGATCATTGTAACCAGCAGTTTTATTTAGATTTAGTCAAAAACATTTTTTAGTGTATAATATATATTCTTTATATCTGAAACAGCATATGTTGATTTAGCACTTTTTACTGTATATGTCAAAACATTAATACCTGGTAAATCTTTCGTAATGTTAAATGCTGATTTCGGGTCCTTTGCGGAGGAGCCGTAGTTGAACAGCAGTGGTTAAAATGCAGGTGCATGCAGTCGGATCAGTTCTAAGGTCATAGGAAAAAAAAAACCTGTAGGAAGAGCATGTACTGCATTGTGCGCATAATTGCACAATTGAGTAATCGTAGGGAAGAAAAAAAAGATTCACTGAGTGCTGAAACTGAAGCTGAGATGTTTGAAGACTGTGAAAGATGATGACCAGGGAAAGAAGCCAGAACACTACTGTGGATCACGCTGCTGCCATTTGTTGCAACAGTGCTGCTCCTTTGAAATCCTCCTCCACTCCCACCCCTCTCGCCCATTCCCCTCCTGTGTGTGTGTGTGTGAGTGAGTAAATGTGTGAGGTATTGATGGAGAGATGTGTATAAAAGCCAGGGTAAAGGCACCTGCTGCTCAGAGTAGAGGAGCGTCTGAAATTGTCCATCATTGTCTCACTGCCTACCTGTGGTTGAATGACGCTCGGAGCTCGTGATTAACTCACATTTTAAATGTCAACGTCATCTTCATAGGCGAGAATATTTAAAAATCTGAAGTCCCCCCTCTGTGTCCATACAGTTAACTTTCCAGTTTTAATGCATCCACACAGTCTTTACTTAGAACTGTGTAGCGTTTAGAAACACGGTGTTTAAATAAACCAGCAGTGTTTGCACGGGTGATGAAAATCCAAACCCTGCAGGTCAGTTGTCATCTGGTGCCAGTGTCCCTCTGTGCCAAACACCAGCTGTGTGCACTCTGGAATGTATGTTGTTCCACCGTTTTTTTTTTACAACATAGATGGACAAGAATGATGAAAGGGTTAATTAGCACTATAATGGGCACTTAATTACAGTGTGGAACCACATGCATGGAGAGAGTGAAAGAGAGAGAGAGAGAGAGAGAGAGCCTGCATACACTGTACAACACCTAGAGTCTCAACTCACCAATTTGGTGCACAAAGCAAAATTATGGTTTTGCTCCCCCTATCCACCCCATTGTCACTGCATTTTAGGGCTGCGGCTTTAACTCCTTAAAAGCTGCAGCTGATTCCAATGGATTCACCTGATATTTTCAAACGGGCAAAAAAAAAAACAGGAAAAAGAAATATCTAAAAAAGGATAAATGCTCATGTTAACTTCATCCAACACCTTGTTTAACCAGTGTTAAACTGCAACAAAATTAAGGAATTTTCTTTTAAAAAAAATGTAATTATCTAATTGTAATTGTAAATAATACAATAACTTTTTTAAACAATTGAAATTCATTAATCAGCTATAGTTAGAGCTATCTCTGTGTAGCCTCTGCCAAAAGCTGCCTCTGATAACAGCTGCATTATAATATATGTATTATATCATATATATGCATTAGTGACTCTTCTGTTCCCAATGGGAATAAGATTCCGCCAGGCTACCACTAGGAGGCAGCACCATGTCCAATAATTTTAGAACCATTGCGGGAGTCGGTTTGGATGACATGTTTGTCAGGCGTAGACTGCTCTGACACAGACTGGACCTCTGACCTGAGGTTGAACCCCTTCCAGACGTAGCAGGACATGGAGACAGTATTTTGAGTGAAAATTTCCCCACACTGTGTGTAAATGCCAACACCTGTATATGGACTCTGTCCTAGAACAACAGTCAGTAGCTGAACATTGGGGATTAGTAGATAGTACTGTATATACCTGTAGTACATGTTATTCTGCCTTAAATGCCATGAGAATTTCAAACTGATAAATTAATTTAAGCAATTGATTTCTTAATTACGACAGTCCTATTTAAAAAAATATAATTAGATTTTTTTTCAGGTCAAGGTTTTTAAACATTGCAATTAGTCCAATTCACATATGGCTATTATTGTAATTATGAGTGACATTTAAATGCACGGCCATTATGAGTTTTGACGGTATTCCTGATAGTTCTGGGCCGGGTTTGACGGTATTCCTGATAGTTCTGGGCCGCACAGGTTAATTCTCTACTAATTTGATGCAGAGACAAGCTGCGAAAGATTAACTATTGACGGTTTTTGCGGCGACGTGAACCAGACGATGAGATCAGATAAATCCCCCAGTGTGTTGTCAAACAGCACAGCCCTGAGGTCTGGCCGCGTCTCGTACGTCAACATCATGTTCCCTGTTTAAAGTTCACTCCCATTATCGGAATTAATTTTCCTGTCTACGTGATGTAGTTTCCAAACAAAGACGCAGCTGTGAAAATTCATGTGAGTCCTGTCGTCTTAAATGAAGGACAAATTAGAAAGGCGGCGGCGACGAGGGAGCGGAGTCGTGCATTTAAATTTGTACTGTTAGAGAGTACAGCCAGACGGTGCCTTTCTTTAAAAGCTTTTTGTTCAAAGTATGAATGCTCCCTCTGCATATAAATATATAAATAGAAATGTGTAGAATGTGTATTTCTCTATAGGGGACGACAGATGAATTAACAGGTGCTGTCAAGTTGGAATCGTTCCTCAAGTGAATTAAGTCCGACCGGGGGCATTAAGCACTGCTGCTGTAGGTCTACTGCTGACAGGCTGACAGACACTGTTGTCAAATGGACTGTTAGGGACTGTAGACTAATTCATATCGTTCAGAAATAGTCTGGATGCATTTAACCAGAGACTGTTAAGATGACAATTTTAAGGAAATACATCTTGAGATATAGTTTTGTGCACTAAGTCACAAATAAAAATGCATGTGAAACAGTGCAGGGAAAAAGTCCTTTTGACTTTTATCTTAATCAATGACTTTTGCATTTATGGATTCAGCAGACGCTTTCATCCAAAGCGACCTACAGAAGGATCAATACTCAATCAATAATCAGTAGATTACCAGATTAATCGTTGAACCATTGTAATTTTCTCTTAGATCCTCATTTCCATTTCTTCTTCCTGTCCATTGGTTGATATGTGTGCACAGCGTGAACGTGTCACCGCGTCCACTGTCGCAGCTGATGCTGTTAAAGCGACGTTGACCTCTTTTAATGAAAGTGTCAGCAGGAGATAATAACATTTAGTGAGCAGTTGAGCTTCAGCCCTGCAGGATGACACGCTCGCTGCACCTCATGCACCACAGTAAGGTGTTATCTATGATTAACTGGTCTGTGTACTGTATATTATGCTGATTTTAAAAAAAATCTTACATCTAATGCAAATGCAGCCCTGCAATAATGGAAGACTACGATTGATATGAATGGCTGCACTTAGGAAATGTCAGCAGAGTCAGAGAGAGAAAGGTATTAATGTATGGAAAGAGGAGAGGAGACGGCGGACAACAAGAGTCCAAGAGTCTTCAGCAGCCGTCCTGCCTGTTTTGCATGTTGAGGGTGCTCCATTCTCATCACGCCTTGGAAATGAGCTATCGTTGGTTTCTACAAAGGCCATGGTAACCGCGTTACCAAGCGAGAACAGTGGTCAGTAAATGTGACCTTATGAGGACCTGGAAAACCAATTCACGCTCTCGATTATGAACATTTACCCAGCCAATCAGAAGTTAGGGGCACAATGCGGTGAGGGAGACAAGCTGCGTCTTGAATTGAGGAGTGCTGCTGCGCGAGCAATCGCTTCTAACAGGATTTGAACCAGACACTGGAACATTTCCAATACATCCTCTACAAGTGATTGCAATGATGTGCTTCACTCATACTGACTCACTGCAGTAGAACCATCTGCTGAAGATTTCATCAACCTCATTACTAATTCACACGAAAGCAAATCTCAGCTGCGGTGTCACTGCCATGTTCAACCTCAGACTCCTAAAAGCTTCATTGCCAGGAGTTAAAACGATCCATTAGTCTCCGCTTTCTGTAAATTTGGTTCAAATAAACTGACGTCTGACCGTCCATCCGTCCATCCGTCCAACCATCCATCCATCCATCCATCCATCCATCCATCTATCCATCTATCCATCTATCCATCCATCTATCTATCTATCTTGGGCCTGGGAGACATAATAAAGGGCAAAACGTTCCCAAAAAACAGATAAAAGAAAATTTAAATGTAAACAAATTTTACATTTCCGGTGTATTGCGCCAACTGTTTCCCATGTTTAATACATGGAAACATTCGTACAAAACAAACTTTATGTGAGATGATGACTTAATCACAAAATGTCGTAGGTCGAAGGCATCAGAAACCAAGGACCCCCTGTATATATCAATAAAACATTAGGATAAAAATTCATTTTTATAAGGTGTCGCAAATATTTATTCAAGTATTCTCCAAGTGGAACTTGAAGAATACTGGATGTTATTGTATGTATTTGACTTTACATGATGACTGCTGGGTTTGGCTTTTTTGTAACAGGGATTAAGTGATGTGGGATTCCAAAACCACACAAAATTTTGCAGTTTATTTCAAGTAGATTTTTGCTTGAATTTTTCAATATTCTCTTTCTATTTCAAAAGGAAAAAACAACTCAGTGCAGCTTTCTCGGAGAACTGATTAATCAAAGAGAATGAGACACGGAGGTGTTTTTCTGCTGTAAAAGTCCAACGTTCTTTATCTCACATCTATGGACTGTGTGTCTTTTAATCCCATCGGTGAAAATGAAGAGACATTCTGCTGCTCCCCGAATCAGTAATTGCTCTAACGATTCTTCTGCTTTCACATGAGCATTGATGTTGTAGCTCCGTCGGTGA